AGAAACAAGCTGTATTAATTATTCAGCGAGCATTTCGTTCATGGAATCAAAAACGAATAAACTCGGTCAAAATAATCCAGCACACAGTAATTAAATAGCTTTATCGACCTGATGGATCATTTATGAAGCAAGCCAAAGATCAGTATTATTGCGAAGCAATGACCCAAAGGGTCTATTAAAATGCGAATAAGCTTAGTTAAAAATACTAATTTTATTTGCTGTGTCGTATATATATCTGTGATAATTTTCCTTGTTTTACATTTGATTCTAGACATAAGCACTGATTGGTACTAGCTGATTTTTTAACGAAAACTTCATGTAATTGCTAAGGAGAGACATTCGGAAATAATGGAAGCCCCTCTCCGGTAAATCAAATTTTCTTTACCTCCATTTCACCAAATTTTTGTAATAACACACCTGGATCATCTTCTAAGGGACCGTGAAATTCCTCAAACTTTTGGAGATATACTCTCGCATTTTTATCAGCTTCTTCTGCCATTTCTTGATTAGTATAGCCAACAATATCAATTTTTTTCTGAATTGTCGCTATATCGTCTTCTAAGCATAAAAGTAAATCAAATAGCTGTATTAATAAATCACGATAATCAGATTTTTTTTATGTATTATGTACTACGTTCTATTACCCGTGATTGAAGCATGTGTTTGTGATAACGTGAGATGCCGAGTCGAAGTGTCATTTATTCTGAAATAAGACCTCATTGCATCTCAATTAAATAACAAACAAAAATCGTGTGATATATATGATTATCGGTGATATATGCATGCGATTTTATAGGTGAGCGGTCACCCGATGTGCATAAATAATACGAAGACATCATATTTTGTGATCGTTGGCAATTTATTAGTTCGATTTAGTACGAAAAATAAAGAACCAATGCCATGGATATCTGATGTCGAGACTTGACGTATAAAAACATGTGTTGTCTCAGTGGGTCTGGCCCTAAGATACAAAGTAATCGTTTAGAACGTGAAAATGCGCGTAATTCCAAACAGCATTAACACATAATTCCCAAGTAAAAAAATATAATTTTCCAGCTACTGGTCCACATAATTCCCAAACAGGAATCATAATCTATAATCGCAAAATCTTTGTTGTGTTAGTTTCTTTACAACATAATCAAATCACAAATCATGCAGACCTTATTAAAATGTTCTCGATTGCTTCCGATTTTTTACTACTCGTCACCTTAATGTTAGTTCAAATGATATTTCTCTACTTCCTAACCAGATACAATTCTGAGAACGCCGAAAAATAATTCAACGCAAAAATGACTTCAGCACTAAAGAAGCAATAAAAAAGTATCTCTGAATTATCTGAAACCGTAAGACTCCTCAGCTATGATATTCATGAAGTTCAGGATGGGGGTACAAGAAGTAGTAATGCAGGATCCGGTACATCCAGATCACCTCAAAATTATACTGGTACCATTTTCAAACTGTGGAAAGAAATTGATACATTATTCAACGAGAAAAAACGTACTGAAAAATGGTCCATGGCAAGGTTGTACTCCAAGGTTACTGAGGAAATTTGTGAGCTCGTAATTAAGCATAAGAAGGGTGTAGCAATCAGTGATGCAACCGTTAGAAATTTTCATAAAAAATTAACAAAAAATCTGAAAGAGAATACACTGGATTTATTAAAATTATAGGTGTCCAAGCAGAAGGGTGAAATAGATAGTGAACCGGAAAGTGAGGAGGAGGGAGAAGATGATAATAATAATGATAGCTAGTGTGGG